GCATGACCGATAGGAGTGACCATTGCAAAAAACACCCATGTCGATGGAGGCATGTATGCCAGTGACTGCCAGATAATCCACGTTGTCACATAGATTAGTGAAGTAGTGAAGAACTTCAATATTTATGTAAACACGGAGCTTTTGTAATATCGAAGAGCTTCTTTTACTAATAAATTGCTAAAAGTTGCGCATAAGTACAAGGCTCTATGTCGCTGTGTGATGTTTGAAATCGATCAAAAAAGTGGCAAAAGCGTATTTGTGTTTCTCCTCTTGTTCTGGAATGCTGCAAAATCTGCCTCTTCAAACATCAATAAGTCGAGCGCCTTCGAAACGCGATTGTGAACTGTGTCCGATGCGAACCTTGCACTCGGCGAACCCTGGCCAACAAGCATGTCGATTTGCAAAGTCCAAATCATTGAAGCGATATCACACCACAATTTCTCTTCAACTACGCATATAAAAGTTAGCACTTGAAGCAAAAATATTTGGAACGGTGAAGTTAAGGAATGTTAGCCCAATGCTTGAACAACAGCCGCAGAGGAGAATGTTGCGATCTGGGCAAGCTGAAATCGGTTGGTCTTTGCAATCTTCTGTAATTCCTAGCAACGTACTTCACTATTATAGGCATGAAAATCTAACAAAGGATGCTACCTAACTTAGCTCGGCTTTTTGGCAAGGGACATATACAGTCTGAATCAACTTCAAACGCTGATTCCAAATATGCTATCCCTAGCTACCACGCACCATTCCGAAGCGAGTTATGGGCTTTTTCCGGCGCAAAATTGGCATGCTCATCGACTCAACGGCATCACGTCATCATCATTTGAGTGCTGATACACATGCGTTAGGTTTTTTTTTGGTAAGAAAGATTGGATTCGTACTATTTCGATACTTCAGCATCTTTTTCTTGCAGATTTTTATCTACAGGCAGTCTTCTCATGTCAGTAGTATGCCAATTTTGCGCAGGAAAAAGCCCATAACTCACTTCGGAATAGAGCGTGGCAGCTAGGAATAGCAAAATTGGAATCAGCGTTTGAAGCTGATTCAGAATGTATATGCGTTTTACCAAAAGGCCGAGCTAAGTTAAGTAGCTTTGCTTATAAGTGATATCCATCACCAAACAAACAAGGTATTGGTGGTGTGCCAGAGGATGCCGCTCTTCCAACATTTATCACTGTACCTCCGTTTCAAATTATGGGATATGGCACAAGCCTAAAAAAGCGTAGCCCATCATGGCTTTTTCACAAGCACCAATTTTCAGTTTTTTCCAAGTCTCGAAACTTTCAAAGTAAGAGATGTTTGTATAAGGCAGTGGCGTACCGAGGGAAGTCTCCCCCCCACGCGAATGGGCCGCGAAAAATGAACGTTACCTACACGAGTCATTAAAATATGCAAATGAAAATACTTGTAAATATGCAAATAGAGAAACCAGAAATTCTTTGGCTTTGAAAAGTCTTTGGGGGGAGGGGGGAGTACGACACTAATATGAGTTACATTATAAATGAGAACTACATTTTGGAAAAAACAGTGAACATTTCTGATAAAGGAAAGAGTCATTCCGTATCGACTATGCAGGATTACAAGAGATCATTAGGTCTCAGTTTGTTACATAATCGCTTGTGCTTGTGAGGTAAGTCATTTGCTTATCATAAAACTTGGAAGTATAAGCTTTATCAGAGAAGCATATTTGAGCACATCCACTACGTGATCATTATGAAGCGATGGGAATTACAGGAAATTATATACGTAAAAATTCAACAATTATATATGCATAATAATTTCTTCGCTTTTAGCACTCAGAAGAGGTTCAGTCGGGACCAAGTTGCTTCTGACCTGACTCAACATCTTGACTCAAACATTCAAAATTCGTAAGCATCTAAGCATCCATCATCCCAAAAGTTCTGCCGTTTTATGCTTGAAAATTTGCAACTTTCAACTATCTCGTAGATTTGCTTGTTGTGATTCTGTTTGCTAGAAGAAGATTTCCCCTTGTAAGGGCTACTTGATGAGCTTCTCTATGCATTCACTGCAAAAAATGGAAAACGAGACCATCCAAGTTTCTCATTCCAAATTAAGTCGCCAAAAATCTGAAACATTGCAAAAGTCTGAAATCATCAGTACAAGCTTTGTGAGCTAAGAAGAGCCTGTGAATCCGAATTTCTTGAAAGGTTGTGATATTCGAAAAGACTGACAGATTAATCACGTTTGAAGTTTTCTGTTGTAAACTCAACATCTCACAGAAATGTAGAACACAAAGTCTTTCTCGGTTGCGGCGTCTCGGTTGCGTCGGTAGGTCATAAAATTTGTGTACTTATGTTTTAGATGTTCCTGCAATGTTTTAGGTTTTTGACAGCCTAATTTAAAATGACTGAAGTCTGAATGCTAATCTTTCTTCCATCTTTATCTTTGCAGTAATGTACAGGGTGTTCCAAAAAAAATGTGCCTACTGTTTGATTGTAAATAACTCTCTTGTAATGGAGTGTTTCGAGAAGCCTTAAGTACCGTTTTGTAGAGCGAGGTTAAACTTAGACTTACACTATGGAGCGAATCGGCGATCGCTTTTCATTACTGTAGGATTACGGTATGAACTTCGACAAGGATTCCAGGCACTTGGAGGCTATATTCTGCCTCGAAGCAAGTCCAAAGAAGCCAAAAACTGTTACACTACGGTAATGAGAGCCGCTGATTTCGAATTTGAAATTCCCATTTTACTGTGAGGCTTCTTTCCTAAGTTATCCCCGGTAAATCGCAATAATTCAATTCCCAGCATTTGTCCGAAATGTAATTACACCGTCAAAAAAGCTGAAAACGCTCGCAAAAAGTTGTGTAGTGGAATCAGCATGTTCGAGAACCCTAGTACACGATTTTTCGATTTTTTGAAAAAAATTTTGTTAGATGGTGTATTTCCCATTGGCTCCATATGCTAAAAATTCTTACCGTAATCCTACGGTGATAAAGAACGATCGATGATTCGCTCCATACTGTAAATCTAAGTTCAACCTCGCTCTACAAAAAGGTACCTAAAGCATTTCGAAACACTTCATTACAATAGAGTTATTCACAATCAAACAGTAGGCACATTTTTTTGGGACACCCTGTATAGTAGAAGCTCTTCAAAAACCCGTTACAAAAAAGATCTCTTCTTCATGTTAGAATAATAAAGAAGCCACTTTGCCGAGATAGCGAGGAGAACCTTTTAGAAACAACCTTTTAGAAACAGGACAGCCAATACTTTGAGAGACGTTAGCCTAGTACCGCACACAATCCAAAATATTCACCGAACTTTCTTGCAGTAAGAGACAGCAACTAATTTACATTCAGCATATCCTTTGATTCAACGATATTAGCGGCTGGAAGGCGACCGCTCGCACCCGCGACAGTCTGCGTTTCTCTTGCGAGCGTGCTCTCTGATCATTCTCTAGCCTTAATTAGGTCACGAAGCAGCGCCTTCCAGCTGCCAATCCAGTTGAACCAAAGGGTACGAGTTTACCTATAAGAGCCTTCCTCCTGGTAATTCACATTTCCATTTTTTCCCATTTCGGCTTACACGCTAACTCAAGATGAATGGTTTACCTAATTGAAGAAGGTAATAGGGATCTCCCATCACTCTGTATAGTTATCTTCGTATGAAACACTGAATTCACTCACCTATTGAGCAGCTTTATCTGCACTAAAACATTTTATCACAACATGCAGTTTTTTCGTCTGCACTCTGCATAGCAAAAGTGATGACGGAAAGATTACTTAACTTGTACCTAAACCTAGCAAACAACGTTCACGAACAGCCTTCGGTCGACTAACGCCTTGAAGGCAGTGTCCGGGCAGGAAGTTGATGTTGAGATTCTGCGCTTACCTGGACCTACTCGCTATGCTAAATCTGAAAATTTACACTGGAAAGGGCAAACACGGCGAAAAATGTAAAGCAAATGGGAAGTCAGCAAGTGGGCTGGGTCTTCCTCACTGTGAATTCGCGCTCCCAGCTTTTGGAACGCTCTTCTCAATTCCGATCTCAAGTCAGGCGTTCGCACTGGCCGATTGCGATATCAGGGCGGCTAGCGGAGCTCTGGAAGCTGAAAGCGCGAATTCAGTGGGAAAGACCTCGCCCACCTGCTGTTCCCCTTCTGCTTTCAAGCCCTTTCTCGCCGTTTTTGCGCTCTTCAATGCGGGTGTTCGGGTTCAACATAGCGAATATGCCTGGGTAAGCACAATATCTCAACATCGACTCTTTGCCGGGACACTGCCTTTGACAGGATGGCTTTATTTTTGGAGTTGTCGGAAGGATGATCCACAATAGATTTGCGGGAATTTAAAAGACTGCCACACTTCCATGGCTTTAATTTGGATGTGGTCCGGGTGTCTCGCAGAGCTCGGCTACTTTTTATGTTCACTTCATCCAATCTTCTCTTGAAAGAGACACATGGCATTTGTATTTGCTTGCAGCTTTATTTTTCGATGTTTTTTGAAAAAGCTCAAGGGTCGGCTATTGATTGTAGATATTTGCATCCAACAAGAAACCAGCTTCAAGTTGAAATTTTCAACAACGTTCTCTTCCATTCGGAATGATAGATGTGAAGCCGTGAGTGGCGGTGGTACTCTAGAACTGTGGTCGGAAGGTAAGCTGGAAAGGTTTAGTTTTTGCAATATAGAACTCTTTGCTTCTGATGACTTCAGAACGCCAGGGTCCGCTTTTTTGTGGGCTGAAGAGGTATGTGGTATACGCGTAAGTTCTTCCACTCTTATTGTAAAGATTTTTCAGCTGCTTGGATAATTCTGGCATACTTGTACTTGCAAGAAATCTCCAAAGCGTCATCCGAAGCTAGTGTTTGAGACCTAGGGTTGTAGTGGAAAATGATTCTATACGCCAATTCTCACGCCGTCTCTTACAAGACGACGCAATAATCCATTGTTTTTCTCTCAAGCTGCATAGTATAAAATTTAGATTCCATTTTTATTTTCTAAATTCTAAATTTCTAAATGTTGCATGCGCGCGTCAGTGGTTGCTAAGAACTCTTGAAGCTAATCACCTGCGCAAGCAGTCGTACCTCTTTGCCCGTCTGAAAATTGGACCTTCTGCTGCTCAGGAAACGCTGAAAAAGTTCGAATAACTCTTATTGATACGTGTTAAATTGTTACCTCAGAAGAGCGTCGAATTGTGTAAACTTTCCGCAGTACTGCAGTATAGGAGATGATAGTAATAGTAAGAACTACAATATTCAAGCATAGATCCAAGGACATGTACCTAAGGAAAAATCAAAGCTTTAATGCGCAAGTAAAATCAACAGTTTTCGATGTAATGTGATTTTCAATCGTAAATATGACCTATTAGCAATTTGGACAGTTCCTGTAATGATTTCCACATCTATCGTGACTTATAATAACGGGTTAAGGGTGTTTACGTGTGTGTGTTTTTGTGTGTGTGTGTGTCTGTCTGTAACGAAATTCACAGAACGAGTCGTAGACAAGGTGTAAGCCGCAATTTTTTTGCACAACACACACTGCCGAAATCTAGATTCACCTGCAAAAGCACGAGTAATTCATTGAGTAGGTCTCTCGAAAAGTGCACCCTAAATGGAACCACTCAACTTCTGGCGCAAAATTGGGTCCGTATCACCTCTTTTTTCAGAGTTGTGGTCAGGTTTGGCAAGTTAATGTGCAAGCCATGAAGTTTAGCCCAAAAAAGTGACCAAAAGTCTATCACTCTACGAAAACGCCGCCAAAACAAGTTGGTTGATGGCGGGTTTGCCACGCTCAGGGATTTGCGCCGTGCGGGCGGTCCTCATTAAAGCTCCTCCGCCTGAGCGCACTGCATAGTTTTTGATGTACCGTGCGTGCGGTCAACAATAAAAATGCCGTGCAAGCGGAAGACAGTCTACCCGTTCGATCGGCACGCAATAAAATCGACCGTGCAAGCGGCAGGCAATGCGTGCGCACGATCGGCCAGCAATCACTTGATCGTACAAGCGGCAGGCAATCTCGCCGCGCAATCGGTACGCAATAAAATCGACCGTGCAAGCGGCAGGCAATGTGTCCGTTCGATCGGGCGGCAAACTTTTACCCGTGCAAGCGGCCAACAGTGACCTCTACCTTCGGCTCATTGTTTTCACACACTGTGAGTGTAAACGGTACTTGCATGAGATACGACGCAGCGTTTAGGCTGGTTAAGCGTCGACTATCGTGTTATCAACATTTCCCTTCACCGCAAAGCTGGAATGAACCTGTGTGAGGCTACAGTTATCAGGAGTGATGGTGTGGGCTTCTCCATGGAAAATTTGGGTAGTGCGGCAGGCATTGGTCCGTGTTCCCAGGATGTGAAAATGCTTAACATACCTAAGAAAAATGGTTGAAATACCCCATATAAACCTACTTTAGCAGCAAGCGAGCGGCCGACCTTCCCCGCGCAAGCGGCAAGCATTAGAAACCGTGCGGGCGCCCCACGTTAACCGTGCTAACGGCCATTGACGACCGTACAATCGCACACACCAACGAGCGATTGTAAGGTTGTCGCTGGCCGCCCGCACGGCGCGAGTCCCTGAGCGGTTTTACATGTCATTTTAGAAAATCTTTGCACAGGCATGTACTCAGACAATCACAGGCTCTCAGCCGGCGGCCACAAAACCACCGCGAAAACCCACCAAAAGCGCGGCGGCCTTATCGCCTCACTGTCGCTTCCCGCTGAGAACTGGCAGCGAGCGGACTGCTATAAAGCCTTCAGCGCGAAGCGAAACCGCCGCTTTCGCTTCGCGCTGAAGGCTTTATAGCAGTCCGCTCGCTGCCAGTTCTCAGCGGGAAGCGACAGTGAGGCGATAAGGCCACCGCGCTTTTGGTGGGTTTTCGCGGTGGCTTTGTGGCCGCCGGCTGAGAGCCTGTGATTGTTTGAGTACAATACCATTCGGAAAATATGCAAAATCCCCGGGAATTTCGCGAAATTCATGTGAATCACGCAAATTACGCGAGGCCATAACTTCTTCCCGAATGAATATATTCAAAATCCCAGAACAGCATTGTAGCTCGTCAAGGCGAATCTTTTGATAGGTTGTGTCCAATACCTTGTTTTCAATAATCTTGAATTTGCATGTGGACGCCTCTTCGCATGGGTGTAACGCAACGAGCATCACACATAGGAGACTGCCGTGGGCACCGTTCGATAGTAATCTTTCAGTAGATTATCGTGCGCTAAACAGCAGCCGAAAACTTTCTTTCAAAAGAAATAGAAGAGCTGATAAACTTTGGGAAAATCAAGCTGTTCCAAGTTCTACTAGCCGTAACTTCCTTCAGAATGAACTTTTTCGACATCCGAAAGCAGCATTGTGTTCATCTCGTCAAGCCGAATCTTACTATGTACAGCATGCCCTTGAAATTTCGTTTCCAATTTTTCCAAAATTTTCTGCGCGCGTATATTCACAAGGTCGCAAGCAGCGCACATCAAACATAGAAGATTTCAATAAGCACTGTTGGTTTGTGCTGCTCTCGCAAATTCTCGAGCGCTAAAAAGCAACCGGAGAATCTTCTTTAAAAAAAGGGCTGGTGAATTCTGGAAAATCGTGTTGTCTCAAATTTTGCCCACCGTGGCCCTAAAATGAGAAACTCTACTGCTAAGCAGATGAAATTTTCGTAATCAGCAGGTCAGATAACCTCTATGAGCAAGTTTTCAAAGAAATTCGGGTAAGTTGATTTTTTCTCGTTTTACGCCCTGAAGCTCGCCCATGGGTTTTGGTCAAAATGTCGATGATCTTGGATTGTAAGGAAACTTCGCTCAAAAAGGTTTTTGAACACGCTGTTTACGATAATCGTCTTTCTCGCGGAGTACAGAGTTTTCTAGCAGTTATATGGTGGGGGAACGTTAGCTAAGCCATAAAATTTCGTAGATTCGCCTGCATTTTTCGAGCACCTCTTAAAAAATCTGTTTGCTTGCCTCTATAGGATAAATTTGCTAGAAAGCGTGCTATTTAACGGTGCATGCATCTGACTTCAATCTGTAGCAATCGCCGAGTTACGGGCCTACGAAATCACGTCCGCATCCGTCAAATACTTAAGCGAAGTGAACACAAAATTGGTGACCACAGTGTCGTACAGTCACTTAGGTGGATCTACGAAGCAGGCGATCTTTACATTTTGGGCGAAACTCATGAGGACGTGATTTCGTAGGCCCGTAACTCGGCGATTGCTACAGATTGAAGCCAGATGCATGCACCGTTAAATAGCAAGCTTTCTAGTGAATTCAACCTGTGGAGGCAACCAAGCATATTTTCTAAGAGGTGCTGAAAAACGCAGGCGAATCTACGAACTTTCGTGGCTTAGCTAAAGTTCCCCCACCATATCTCTGCTAGAAAACTCTATACTCCGCGCGAAAGACGATTATCGTAAACAGCGTGTTCAAAAACCTCTTTGAGCGAAGTTTCCTTACAATCCAAGATCATCGACATTTTGACCAAAACCCATCGGCGAGCTTCAGGGCGTAAAACGAGAAAAAATCAAATCACCCGAATTTCTTTGGAAACTTGCTCATAGAGGCTATCTGACCTGCTGATTACGAAAATCACATCTGCTTAGCAGTAGAGTTTCTCATTTTAGGGCCACGGTGGGCAAAATTTGAGACAACACGAATTTTTTCAGAATACACCAGCTCTTCTACCTTTTTTCAAAAAGATTCTTCGGTTGCTTTTTAGCGCTCGATAATCTGCGAAAGCAGCACAATCCAACAGTGCCTATTGGAGTCTTTTATGTTTGATGCTCGTTGCGTTACACCCATGCGAAGAGGCGTCCGCATGCAAATTCAAGATTATTGAAAACAAGGTTTTGGACACAACCTGTATATCAAAAGATTAGCCTTGACAGGCTGAACACAATGCTGCTTTCGGATTTTGAATATACCTATTCAGAAAGAGTTACGGCCCTGCGTAATTTGCGTGATTCACATGAATTTCGCGAAATTTCCAGAATTTCGCGGAAGTTTGCGGATCCCGGGAATTTTGCATGTTCTGTGAGTGGTATTGTAGGTCACGATGGATATTATCTTTATGGGGACTACCAAGCCATGAGAAAAATTCAAAAGTGTTCTAAATCTGCATTTGTTCTCATTTTCTGAGGTTTCATATGCATAAAATACCGATCTCACACGAAAAAGCTTTCGGAATGAAAAGTTGTTTACAATTTATTCATAAAGGCAGGCATTGCGCGGTAAGTTCCAATGTCATGTTATGCGAGAATGAGTGAGGCATACAGATAAAAACCAATGCGAGCCTCTGCGAAGCAGAGGTGAGCCTGGTACATATATGTGTTAATTGTTAGTTAGCGTGTCTTACATAGGAACTTTTGTGCTTGAACCAATCAGCGCAAAACTTTGTACACTTATATTTTCGACGCCGGGCACCCCTTAGGCTACTTTCCGCTTCCCCCTCCTACTGATTTATCGATTCTAAATAAAAATGAATTTTTATCATTTACTATCAAACCACATCCAAATTTTCTTGTAGACAATAGCGATACCATTGCCATTCCACGATGAGTGAGAGCGGTAATTTAAGGCGATTGAAGTATCTGCTCTTTGTTGCACGAAGAGTAAAAGAAAGTCAAAACACAATAGTTGAGCCTTAAACGTTGTGCGCCTCCTGCTCTTCGTTGAGCGAGTTAAGTGTACGGCCTGGCGCGCCTCGTACTACAGTAATGTTGCAAGGCCGATCTCGTAAAAGAGTGATCTTTTGAATAACAATCATCAGTGCCTGAAGTGAAGTTTGAAAAAGAAGTCCTTTGCCCACGGCCGTTTACAGCAGTTACCCTGATGACTTACACGGTACGCACATGGCCATCTTTTCTCCCCCTCTGCTTTGGGGCAGAAACCTCCGCAAATGTATTGCGTGGCGGTGGTCCTGGGTAGAAAGTCTCTGAAGGCATCACGGTCGTGCGTATCGGTACACACTATACAACACTTTGAACAAATTCCGTTCAACCTAAGAAACGATTTCCTAAATAAGATTTTGGCGAATGAACTACGAAAAAGTCTTTGCAGTCCTTCAATTACTGAAGGATGTGTCCCTCCAAAATGGTGGCTACCAAGGTTTTCTCAGACAGTCGATGGGATACCTACGGAGCAGAAGTGGCAGGGTCGCGGGCTTTCCCCAGCGGAGGATTGCCACTTCGCGCTCCGGAGCCCTGCCATTTCACGCATTTTTGTGCTCCGGGGCTCTCCCAAAAGTGGCGCACCTCCGGAACAGAGATTTGCGCGTCGCGGAGAGGGGTCCC